CTGGTGGCCACAGCTGTGCTTCCAAGGCGCTCAGGGAAACGGCCGTGAATGGATGCAGTGTTTCCTTGGTCCCCAGGTGGCTGACATGCCTCTATGGCAGAGCAATTTCAACTCGAACGTCTGCGGCCCCTCCTGGTGGCATTTTCTCTCCAAGAGCATCCTTTTTGGTTTGGAGCCCGTGTCTAGGGAGGAGTGGCAGTGAGATTTGCTGCTGAGTTGTCAAGTCCCTCTTTCTGGGAGGTCTCTCCAGCTGAGAACCTTTCCTGGGGTGGCAGGTTCAGGGGGGTCCCCTGTAGCCCCAAAACAAACAAAAGTAGGCCAAGAATGAGCCACGAGATGGGAGTGGAAGCCAGGTTGTAACTAATCCATTATGAGAGCCAAACTCACAATAAAACAGAACGGAGAGCATACAAGTCACGCCCACCTCACAGGGTTACCACGAGGCTGAGTGCCCAGGCTGGGTTCTCTCTTGGGGTCTCACAAAATCAAGGTGGCGGCAGGCTGGGCTGTCTGGTGGCTCGTGGCGGCATTGCAGGGGAGTCCAGCTCCTTGCGACAGCAGGTCTGAGGTCCTCGTGTCCTTGCTGGCGGTCAGCTGGGGGCTGCTCCCTGCTTCTAGAGGCTGCCCGCACCCCTTCTCATGCGACCCATGGTGGCCTGAGTCTGCCACATGTGTCGAAGTTCTCTGACTTTGCCTGCTGAAGGAAACGCTGCTTTTGAGGGGCTCGCCAAGGTCAAGTCCACCAGACAATCCCCGTTAAGGTCAGTGGTGTGGGGCTTTCATTACATCTGCAAAGCCCCTCACAGCAGCACCTAGACAAGCATTTGAATAACCGGTGGGTAGGTACCCTGGGCCCATGGGCCCATCTTTAGAATCCTGTCTCTTGCACCTGTCACACCCACGTTTGTTTTTTTTAAACTTATTTTGGAGTTGAATAAAAGGATAAAAATCCATGCCCTTGCTGAGCAAGAATAACAACACAGCTTGTGGCAGCAGCCAACACTCTGGAATAGATGGACGGACATGAGTTCTGGCTCCCGCCCCAACAGTCACGTGGAAGCTGGGACTCGTTAGGAAAAACAAAAAAGTTGTCTTTTTCTGCCTGTATGACCTTGAGCAAGTCACCTAACCTGGCTGGTCCCTGCCCCCTCATCTCTGCAGTGCAGGCTGATCCACGAGGGGACGTCTGCACAGAGCCTGGCGCCCGCTACCACTCGGCTGTTCTAAGTATCACACCCATCCACTGCTGACATGCTGTCAAGCCATCTGTACGACCTTCTCCTGAGCAAATTTTCTTCTTAAACGCCACCCCCATCCTTGTCGGGGCCACCATGTGCCATCTAGCTTGCTCCTCATGCACCAACCCCCGACCCAGGCCACCCACGCCCTTTGCCATAAGTGCATTCCGCTGGCCGATCCATGTATGGATCCAGGTTTGGAGATTCTCATACAGGCAGCTTCATCTCCACATGGCGATGACTTGCACTGAGGCAATGAAGTAAGTTCCAGACCTCAGGGAACTACCTGAGCAGGCTGCCAAGAGCAGTGGCAAAATGACAGACACCTCTACTCCTAGTCCCAGCTCCTCTTGGAACAGTGCCCAATGTGGCCACAAGGTGGCAGCACAGGCAGACCTTTGTTTAGGAAAATCTCATCGTTTCTGGACAGGATCCACCCAGTCAGGGTTGGCTTCCTGGCTGGCTTGGACTGACTGGCCCGTGGTTCCGTGTGCCCAGCGAGGCAATGACGCCAGTGCTTGCCTGTCTCGGGACACGGCGGCTGCAAATCTCTGCTGATTCCCCATGCTGCACCATGGGCTGTTTACCGCAGATGCCCATCTGATTTCTTCTGAGCCTCAGGAAGAGTTAGGAAATGAATATTTGTATCTCTTTTAAATCTCACAATAAATATGACCCCGGTTTTACAGTTGAGCAGATCAAGTCTGAGAGCTAGTGACTTGCCCAAGGTCACAGCCAAAGAGAAACATGACATATTGTTTTAAACTTTATTACAGAAAATTTCAAACGTGTACAAAAGAAAGTATCCTAACTCCCACAGGATTCATCATCTGGTTTGAACAATTATCAACATATTGCCACTTGAGCTTCTCCTACCCTCATTTTTCCTTTTTACCGGAGTATTTATAAAGCAAATTACAGACACTGGCAATTTACTGTAAATACTTCCATTTGCATCTCCAAACAATTAGAACACTTTTACCTAAACACCAGGACATCATCTCTTCCTAAGAAAAGCAGCAATAACTCATTAGTATCTAATACGGTTTCTATTCAAATTTCCCCACCATCTCACAAATGTCTTTTTTATTTGGTTTGTTCTACGGGATCCAAATGAGGTCCACCTATGCCATACAATTGTATCTTTTAAGCCCTTTTATCCTCAAACAATCCTAATCCTAATCCTTTTTCTTTTTTTTCCTCCCAGGCCCTTAATCAATTGACAAACCAGGTCTTTTTCTCCACAGAACATCCCACATCTGGGTTTGATTGTTTGCTTCCTCTCCTGCCGGTGGCAAAGGGCCTGGCACATGCTTTAACAGGAGCCAAGCAAAATAATAGGTCTGGTCCTCACAAATGCGACAAACAGGCAGTGCTACACTTGGGAGACCACGGGCTCCAGCCCTGGGATCTTGGCAGAGAGAGACCGCAGGCCAAGCAGTACTGAAGCGGGAGCCAGGCTGGAGCTCCTGGGGGCCTCATCGGAGCTAAGGGATATGAAAACAAGCAGCACCTTCTCTTCCCGCACCTCGGCTTCCTCGTGGCACATATACAGTAGCACTGACCTCCGTCAGATTAATGGAAACGCTGGGTTTATGCGCTTTAGCTGTGTCCCCGAAGTTTTCCCAGGTGCTGTTCTTGTTTTGAGAAAACTGAAGGTGGTAGAAAAGTGCAAAGAAAACCAACATACACCCAATCACCCCATGTCAACGCTGCTACCGCTGTCACATCTGCTTCCTAGTTTTTGCTTTAATAAAACTCACAGAGAGCTATGGAGCCCTCTAACCACCGCGCCTTGCTCCTGCTCCCCCTCCTTCACCGCCTCCCAGCAACAGCAGGAGGGGGTGGAGCCTCCCAAACCGCTATTTTAACCGTTGTTTCTAACGCACCTTGAAGGTGCATGTTGAAGTGCTTTTGCCCTTAACCTATTTGCATCTAACCAACACTGAGCGCTGTGTGCCCGGCACCATGCCAGGAGCTGGAGAACAACACAGGAGAACAGCACAAATGCCCGTCCGAGGTCCACACTGATCACTAAAGCAAAGGGCAGCCAGAAAGCGAGGCGGTGAGTCGCGCCGGCCGGGAACATGCGCACTTCCGGAGCCCGCCCCGCCCCCCCATGCTTCCTCCCCATTGGTTTTCCCTTGACCTCGCCCCACCCACGGAGAGTCTCCTCCCACTGTTTCCTTCAACTTTCCCCTCTTCATCTCCTGGGGCTCCGGAGCCCTCAAACCCCGCCCACCCGCCGTGACCCACATTATTGGTGACTATTGCCCGTCCATCAGAAGAGTAGCGGTCGCGGATTGGCTACGAGCAAGCAGTTGGGCGGGGAAGCAGGCACAGAGTCTGCGCGAGTGGCTTGGCCCATGAGGAGGCGGGCCAGCGCCCTCCGCGCACGCCCGGTACGTGCGGTGTGCCAGGCCTGGCGGCAATCATGGCGGCTCAGTGTGTGAGGCTCGCGCGGCGCAGCCTCCCCGCTTTGACGTTGTCGCTTAGGTAAGGGGCGCCTGGCTGCCCCGGGCTGAGGTGGGGCGCGGTCTGAGGGGTAGGGGTCAGGCCCGGGAGCGGGGCGTCGTGGGCCACTGACACCCGCCGGGGGCAGCCCTGCGGCTCGGCTCCCTAGCACTGTTCTCCTGGTGGGCATGGAGTGGAAGGCACCGTGCCCCCCGTGTGCCCAAGGCCCGCGCTGACCGCCGCCGGCGTGTCCCCGGGCCCGGGTACAGCCCCCACGCGCGTGCGCGCGGGCACAGGGCCGCCACCCCCTCGGAGCCGCAGACACCGGGGCTGGGTCGTCAGCAGAACCGGGCGCGCGTGCCCGGGCAGCGCCAGGGTGGATCCCCACCGGGCGCGCCCGGGAAGTTCTGTGAAACCGAGGCTTCCGTCGGCAGTTCACGGGCTTTCCCACGCGGGCCGAATTCCTTCTCCACCTCCGCCTTTTCCCGAGCCTTAGGTCAGAAGGGCACCGGAGCCTGTCCCGCCGTGGGGAGTTTATTTGGGCAGACCAGTGACTCCACAGTGAGGGGTCAGGAGTCAGTGCCCTCACCTTGTATTTTCTTCTCTTTTTTCTTTTTAACCGGTGGTTCCTTTTTGAAAGTCCTACCTCATAAGTTAGTTTGGCAAGTACTTGGCATCTTCTGTGTTGGAGGAACTGTCCAGATGAAGTTACTTAATAGAGAAGCGGCTTTGAGCCAAACGTGGGGCGGAAGCTGGGCAGAGCAAATCTCGTTTTTCCTCGAGGAGCTCGCTCACATGGTGGAGAGCCCAGGCAGGAGACGGAGGTGAAGATTACAGTGAAAGGGGCTCAAGGTGTGAGTGCCAGCCTAATGACATAAAAAATATGGGAACAAAAGAGCAGTGAAGCCACCTGTCATACTTGAGTGAAAAGGTGTTTTCCTCAAGTGATTAATGGCTAGGAAAGAGATAGCCAGTCAGCATTAATTTCTGTCTCTTGAGAACTGGTTTTGTGGAGAATCAAATGGGGAAATCAAGAAAGCTGAATTATAGCCATAGCTCTTAGAGTATCTCACCGCTCCAAGACTCAGTTTCCCTCTCTGTAAACCAGCGTGGGCTCGGACTCAGCCCTTTTGCAGCCACGGCCATGGCACTGCCCCCACAAACCGCTGCCGGCTGTGCTGCAGGTTAAGTAGGGCTGCAGAGCAGAGCTGACCTCCAGAAAGGCGGTGACTGTCACACCCAGAGGTCAGAGCTAGAAAATAAAACAGGCTTCACAACTGTACACTTGGCTTTTAGATTATTAGCTTTTTTTAAATCACAAAAATAACAATACAAAAATTATTGCTCCCTACCCCCCCAGTAAGACTAAGGGGTCCTTCCATTCCTCTGCGCAGGCCTAAGACCCCACATACATGCACAGGATTTCTAGTTTGTGTCTACACAAATGGGGTCACGTTTTGTGTGTTTCCCTAGGTTGCATTTCTTGCTGCGCAGTATTCACATTGTGGAAACAATCATTAATTCAGCCATGTCTCTTCTGATGAGCATCTGTTTCCAGCTTATCAAACTTCAGTGCTGGCGGAAACGTCCTTGTACGTTTATTCTGTTCACTGATAGCTTTCCTATTTGTCGAGACAGTTTATTTTCACATTGGACTGTGATGTAATTAAGAGGCACTCCACTGGTCCTGGTGAAGAAATCTGGGTTCTAAAACTATTCAATCATTTATTAATGGCTTTATGGCCTTGCGCTTATCACTTAACCTTTTCCATGTGGGAGTCAGATTGGATAATATCTTAAGTCACTACCAGGATTAGTTTCGGAGCCCTTTGTCATCCCCCATACACACCTATGCTTCCCTACCTCCACGCCTTTGTCCAAGGCAGGACCCTCTTCCCGAAGTGGGTCTGTCTCCTCCTGTCCAACTCCTTATTTGTAACCCTTACTTATCTATCAGAGCTGCTCTGCACAAAGCCTTTCGTGGCCTTCCATTTTTCCAAAGCTGAAACTATTCTCTGAGCCTCCCAAAGCACGTGGTTCTCTTTCAAACCCACATGTGTGTGTACAGGGATCTCTTTTGCACAGCAGTAAGTACCCAGTGGCCAGGAACTCTGCCCTGTTAGTCTTTGTCGTCACCTCTGACAGTAGGAGGGCCACACCTCAGAAGGCGGTGTTTAGGACAGAAGGGAGAGGTCAGTCCTGTAGACTTGGTACACCAGCACGTCAGCTTAGGCATGCATCGCAGACGACTTCCTGTAAATAAATAGCTTCTATTACATCATACACGGTTTGCCTTTACTAGACCCAAGATAAATCTTTTCTTTCCCAACAAGACGAGAGCAAATAGTTTAAAATTACCTCAAATCTCAAATCATACATCTGATGTTAAGAAGCAAGAAAAAAAAAAAGAAAAAACTGTCAGTGTCTAACTCGTGGGCTTTCTTCAGGCCCTCCCCGCGGCTGCTGTGCACAGCTATGAAACAGAAGAACAATGGCCAGAACCTGGAGGATGACACCGGTCAGAATGAACAGAAGACAGACACTGCCGCCACGGAGAAGGTGCTCGTGGACGAGAAGGTCAAGTTGGAAGAGCAGCTGAAGGAGACTGTGGTAAGGCCGCCCGCCGCTCTGTGGGAAGGGTAGTCTGCTGACCTCCAGTCAGGTTCTCGGGGGGACATCTGGCCAACCTCCAGATTGACCGACAGCAGAAGCCGAAGCCAGACAAATTCAGTCATTTGTCGAAGGACTCTGGCTGGGTCCTGCAGGAAGGTACTGCTAAAGAAGAGACTAGAAGCCAAATGCTGTGTGGCTCTGGTTCTGTCACGAGGACCATCCTGACAGGCTACATAGGAAACAATGGATTCAGACTTAAAATGGTCTTCACAGACAAAGCACGCTCGGGGTGGCTGTGTCAGCTGGGTCTCGGGGAAGCGTGAGGACCGGGGCCGCGGGTGCGGTCGTGGGTGAGGCAGCGGTTCCTCAGCTACGAGTGATGCGGGTTCCCACTCCGGGTCAAATCCCGGAGGCGGTGCACATCCAGTTCAAGGGCTCGACAGTGAGGGTGTCAGACACGTGTTGCTGACGCTGTTCTAACACGCTGATGTGTGTGAACCCTCAGCACCCTGCGCGCCGACTGTTAACATCCCTGTTTACAGATGAGGGAACTGAGGCACCGAAAGGTCGGGCAGACCTCCCAAGGTCACCGAGCTTCCTAGCGCCAGAGCCGGGGTCTGAGCCTCGGACCCCCTGCTCTCGACCACTGTGCTGGGGCTGCCTGACGACTGAAGCCAGAGGGAGCGTAGAGGCCCCCCAGAGCGACTCAGTCCCCATTAAAAACCGAAATGCTCAGCAGATGAGGGAGATTACAGGGGGTGCGGCGAGGCTGAGGAAGAGGCCAGGGCTCGGATATTGCATAAATGTTGTACCGAGCCACGTCTGGGCAATGGTAAAAATACCAAAGGTTTCATCTCTCCGATGGGCTGAGGCCTGCACTGCCCACCCCGGTGTGTGGTTCTAAACTTCCTCAGGCTGTGGGGACGCGGCGGGTCAGCCCGACCAGGGCGCTAGGGTTCCCTCGAGTTGGAAAGTCTGCTGAGGAAGTGTGTGGTCCTTCCTGGTGGGGTGACAAGGCCATCAGAACCGCAAGAAAGTGGCTTTTTCTTGTTCTTTCCACAGCTGTACACTAGTAAGAATGGCTTTGAGAACCACGTAAATACGTGTCACCCTGACATCTTACTCCCCACTCGTTGGAATTTCTACCTGTTAAGCTGCGTGTCCGTAGCCCAAAACCTCAAACGTAGTAATAGATGTCATTTGTGTTTTGACTTGGCCTTGCGATAGCAGGTTTGCTTTCCTTTGAATTTGTTCCATACTTTATTCATGTAAATTTTTATTTTTTAGGAAAAATATAAGCGAGCTTTGGCAGATACTGAGAACTTGCGGCAGAGGACCCAAAAATTGGTGGAGGAAGCAAAATTATATGGTAACTTTAAACATTATATGATACGGACCTGGGAAAACATGGGGTCGGAAAACAAGGGGGTTGGGTGTGGATGTGGGTGAGGAACAGCAAGAACAGCCAGGGTGGGAGGCGGGGAGCCCGAGGCTGCACCCCTTCCGCATCTGAGAGGGGGTCGGCAGTAAAGTCCAGCGGGGGCGTTGACACTGTGAACCGCAGCTCCTTCCGTGAGGAGGGGACTAGCTGCTCTTCCCCGCGGAGACCCTGGTGTGACCCTGCAGAGCATTCGAGCAGGTCGGCCTCTGACGTCCATTCCCTTAGCTCTACCAGCAATAACATCGACACCGCTGAAGATCTAAAAGCCGTCTGTGTTGTCACCTGTGTTGTTACTGTCCTCCCCACTTTACGTGAGATCAGTGAAGCCGAAATGACCTGCCACCCCTCACGAAGCTCATAAGTAGTGTCACCGGCGCTGAGGCTGGTGCTCCCCGTCTAGGCCTATCTGTTACTAAGCCCGAGCTGCCATTTGAGTCTTTGGGGAGCTGCCCGTCAGGCTTCACCCGCATTGTACGTGAAGAGCCTCAGGCTCACAGAGCACTTGCTGCCCTGTTAGGGGCCTGGGTGGGAGCACATGCCAGCTGGAGCACCCTCATCAGCCCTGACTTCCGTTCAGCATTGGAAACATTCTTTTGAAACCACAGAGTTTTTATGTAATACAGTGCCATGAATTTGGAGAGAATTCTCATGTTTTATCTTCTATTAGATGAAGGTTGATGCAGGTTCAGGTGAGGGCTTGGGCTGTGTCTTCGTGACTTTTCTACCCCATGGTGCCACTAGTGGCACCTGTACCGAGTGCGCTGCGTTCTCGGCATTGTGAGCACACACGACTCCTGTCCTCTTAACTATGCTGTGTGGTAGGTGCTGTTATGATCCTACCAGTTGTTATAACTGGACGAGCCAGTCCCCAGAGAGGGTGACCGTGATCACACAGCGCTAAGTAATAGCCAGGGACACGGCCCCAGGCTCTGTGCCCTTTAGCTCCTGCCCACTTCCGGTGGTGGCCCTACTGTGTGTGGGGTGACATGCTGTTGGAGTGTGCAGTCCCCCAGGGGTTCTGGAGCAGGATAGATGGTGAGGTGGTTCTGCACATTTTTAGCTGCCAGTCTTCATGGCTAATTAACTCATCTAAACCCCCAAAAACTTTTTGTTGATGTTTTTTCCAATCAAGCGTTTGAAATCTAGGACAGGTGAGTGATTAACAGGGCCTACAATTTTGAGTTGCCTGCTCCTCAAATAAGAATGCAAATGGTATTCTTCTTTAACTCCATTTAGGCATTCAGAGCTTCTGCAAGGACTTGCTAGAGGTCGCGGACATTCTAGAGAAGGCAACACAGAGTGTCCCAAAAGAGGAGATTAAAGACGAGAACCCTCACCTGAAGAACCTCTACGAGGGGCTCGTGATGACCCAAGTGCAGGTCCAGAAGGTCTTCACCAAGCACGGCTTACTCAGGCTTGACCCGGTGGGGGCCAAGTTCGACCCGTATGAGCACGAGGCCTTGTTCCACACGCCAGTCGAGGGGAAAGAGCCGGGCACGGTGGCGCTAGTTAGCAAAGTGGGGTACAAGCTGCATGGGCGCACCCTGAGGCCCGCCCTGGTGGGGGTGGTGAAGGAAGCCTAGCTGCCTGCAGCGGGTCGGGGTGGGGGGTGTCCCTGGTAAACACTGGCGGTGACTCGTGCCAGGCTGGTTTGCCCGCCCTCCCGTGAGTACTGAGCTTGCCCAGCCCGCTGGGAGCTCGGCGGCGGCGACACAGGCTAAGCCGCCTGCGCAGCTGCGTTCCCGAGCTGATTCGGGAGGCTGTTAATACACGCCTGATGGTTCCACACACTCACAAGACAGGCCGATGGGATGCGACTGGACCCTAGAATATTATGAATGACGCTGTATCTGCTCAAACTCTGGTGACGTCTAGATGTTCTGAATGAATAAATGGTCTGCGGGGACCTGCTGTTTGGCTCGCTGGCGGCCAGTCCGCTGTGTGTCCTGCTTCTCACTAACCCGCAAGCTCCAGGGCGCTCAGCCCCCTGCACTTGAGCCAGCAAAGGGGAGGCACGAGCGTAACCATTTTTCTTGCTGAGGAAAACTGCCCTTGCTGAAGAACGTGCGGCTTCACTGAGGGTCACCAGCCAGCTGCTAAGGGGCCGGCTTCTGGCTTTCCTTTGGCGGTGTGAAACGAGCAGACATCCCTAACAATTCTCACCACAGTTACCAAATCTGACAGAATCAGTTACTTTTGCCCCGTTTTGTTCACCTATCTGTAGAAATGATTAAATATTATATGCAACTAGTTACCGATGACCTGAAAGTATTTTCTCTAGTAAGACAGACTTTCTCAAAATCTGAGGACTCCATGATTGGTCAGTTTTAAATGTTAATGTTTAACTTTTAAATTTAATTAAGAGGATTAAAGCCCTGATGTTTATTTTCTACTTTCTGATAACTACTTAGTGTACTGTGGATACCCTTACTAAAGAAAGCAGGACTTAGCTTTCCCGTTCTCTGCTCAAATCCAGAAGCTATAGGCTTGGCACATCCACCCAAACACGCTGGCTTCCCTCTAGAGCAGCTGCAGGCTGGCACGTGACTGTACTTCTGCTGGGGGCCGACGTGGCCAACTCAGGACCACAAAGGTGACCGCCGACGCTCAGGAGCCACAGCAAGTGCACAGTCTGTGAAAGCTGCCTCGTGCCCCTCCCTCAGACCCCCGCGCTCCTGATTTACGCTGAGAAAAGCCAATTGAGGTATCTTGTGAACAGGAAAAAGAACCCGCTGCCCTGCTTCTCAGAGGTCCTCCTAGGGTTGAAGGTCAATACTAGTCGATCCGTTATCGCATAAAAAAGATGTGGCGATTAATTTTGCTCAGTTTTGAAAGATGTAAGTAATAGTCCCATAATTAAAATTTCAGTTTATATGATTTCAAAACATTCTTTCCTTTAAGTTGCCTTGAATAATTTAGTCAAAAACGTACCCCAGAACTAAAGGCTGCCCTAATGTGTCAAGAAAACAGACAAGGGGGAGTGACAGCTGTGCTGTCCACCCCGCCGCTGTGTGTGCTCTTCACCTCCCTGGGACGCACCTGTGTGAGAAAGCCGGCTAAGAAGAGCCCCTCTCAGACCCACTCCGGCGACTGCAGCTGCTGGAAGGCGCGAACCCTGGAGACGGGGCGTCCGCGTAGACCAGTCCCAGCCTGCGCGTTCCAGTCACCCAGTCAGCCAGCACGGGCGGGAAAGCAGTTCTGCGCGTGTGTCCTCACTTAGCATGTTGCAGTCCTGCACCTAAACGACCAGGGACCAGCCAGGCCAGTGCTCCCACGGGCTGGTACGAACGGGAGCCGGGTTGCCCGAGGCCCTGGTGCGGGAGCTTACCTGGAAACTGACACGCCGTCACCCACCTGCCCGGCGGGTTCTGTGTGCCCGCGGCCCGGACAGCGGCCTTGGCTGATAGCTTGACGGAAGGCCGGGTAGCACATGTCGCCTGCTCTCTCCCGTCCTGGTTCTGAAGCTGGCTCTGAAAGGCAAAGGCTGGAGGAGCAGGTGGTAAGAAGCAATCGGTGACACTATTTTGTTCTCAACTTGTTTTAATATGTAAAAGGGCAATAAAAACAGCAGTCAGAGTTTCGGTTTTAATACATTCTTGGAATGCTGGCCGTCCAGAGTATTTAGAATAGCTGAATTACCGAACTTGACTCAAAGTTAAGAGTTGAAATTTTGAAAAGACCTAATTCCATGGGATTATGGTGACTAGTGTACCATGAGAATTAAATACAGAAACGTAAAGGCTCTGAGCTAACAGCAGGGATGGGGACTAATGTGACAGTCATAGCTGGAGGTGATGGGATAAAGGCAACGAATCATAAAAGTACTTTCGTAACAAAGTGTTAATACTTTAACATAAATTAATTATACATTCATTATGGTGTTTTCAAACAGTCAAGCCTAAATAAATTCTTCATACCATCAAAAAGATATACATACTAAAAATCTGCGTAAGCACAAAGTTTTCATTTGACAGCTCTTGGCCTGGGCCACACATTTACAGGGATGTTTTGCTTCTCAAGCTTAATGAAAGTCTGGCAATCATTTTATATAAAAATAAGACTAAGTTTAAAACCTCACCAAACGGCATCTGATGTAGAAAATCCATGGGATGACGACGCCGGGGTAGCTAAAGCCAGTGGGGCGCCAACGTCATCCCGGCCACCTGGAAGGCTGGCGCGAACGGCTCCGTAGGCCCTCCCCTCATTTCTGACTCTGGGGGACTGGGTGGGGCCTGAGCGCCTGCATCTTAGCAGGTTCCCAGGGGAGACTGGTGCTGCTGGTCCAGGAACCCCGGGTGACAACCACTGGCCAAGAAAGCTGTGAAACCTTAGCACCCGCTCCCTCACTGCTCAGTGGAAGGCGACACCTGCTCTGTGTCAGCGGCACTTATCCCGCAGGGGACCGTGTGGAGGTGGCCCTCAGGAGCAACCACGCTCACTGTTGTCAGAGAAGTCCCCCGCTCAGCTAACAAGACCTTCTCGCCAGCATGCAAGTACTTTACAACTAAAGCCAGTTATGACAGATCTGATAGGTTTTATTTAATGCTGAAAAATTTACTCTAGGGGGACAGAGGATGTAAAAGAAAGGAAAAGGCACCGTAATTAAGTCGTCCTTGGAAATAATGAGGGTTTGTTTTCTTTCAAATAACTTCACTTTAATGGAACTTCAAGCCCAAACGTTCTGGGAGGTAAACAGTCTCTTGGTAGCTATGGGGGCGGGAGGAGCAGGGCAAGCAGGGGCAGGGATGGAGCGCTGGGTCCCCCCGGTCACTCCACAGACTCTAAAGCAGGGTCTTGGACGTGAGAACCCTGAGCAGCCGGAAGACAAATGACTGACTCAAGTTCCAGAAGGAAGGTACCATGTAGCCATGAAAGAGGGCCCTGAAAAACTTCTAATGAGGGCTGGGCGGAAGCCACGTCTGAGTCTGGTTCAGGACAGTGACCAGTGCCCCAGAGGAGCAGCGCACCGGCCTCAGCCCGGCCCAGCCATGTGAGCCGCCCCATCTCACCTGGCTGGTCTGCAGATGCCTGGTGAGATGCTTGCTGGGCTAGCTTGGTCAGAGTCCCAGTGAAAAAGGTAGTTGACACTGTCATGAAAATTCTGGAGGAAGCTAACGCCAGAACTCAGCACTCTCGGCCACGATCTTTCTAAAATGAGTTCTTGTAACTAAACTGCACAGCTAGCACAAAAAGCGGCCAGCAGCGGCCCCAGGGAGGCTGGCTCAGCGTCCTGGGCGTCCACGCTGGCCCTGTGGCGGCGTCCTGGCTGCACTAGGCGGCTGGCGGGGGCAGCGCCCGGAGGCACAGGCCAGGGGCGGCATGGGACTTGGGGACTACGAGCTCAGCTCTGCCGCCGCCAAGCAGTCCAGGGGACGCGCATCTGGTCACTGAGTTCGACGTAGGCCTCAAGTTCCAAGAAGACCTCGTCCTGCCCCGCGGCCCCACCTAAAGTGCCACGTGCCGGGGCTTGTACCGCAGGGTAACGCTGGCGGCCGGCGGCCCAGCAGGGACAGCTGCTCCCGTCACCCGCGGCACAACAGTTATGCACCACAGGGAAACTCACGAGAGGAAATCATCCAATCTCATCATACTCTCCAAACTGAACACAGAAAGGCAAATCGTCATCTTAAACTGTCACTTTTGGGACCAAGGTACAACGTACATGTATTTGTTTCCCCCATGATCTAAGACTTACTATTGCTTCTCTCAGAGGCCCATGAAAAGAATTTATACCCTAGAAAAAGGAACGCGATTTGCTTACAGAAGACCAACGGCGGGAAAAGCGGTCCCTGCCCCTGCCCCTCCCCCGGCCCCGGGCGGCCTGGCTCCCGGGCGATTCCAGCAGCGGCCCAGCTTTGCCAGGATCGCTTCAGGAAGCGTCCCGGGAGATCCAACCGCTCTCCGTGAGGAAGTTTAAAATCCTTTTCTTGAGGACTTTGTCCAAGTAACTGGGAAGGCGACTCTTGGAGGGGATGCCCTGCCGTTTCTGGAGGTGGTCTTTAATGATGATGGTCTTCACGGTCAGGTAGCGCGCGGGGCTCAGGTTCAAAGAGCTGCAGAGCACCTTCTCGCGGTCCGACAGCAGCTCGAACCCCGGCAGGTTCTCGATGGCGGCGAACTCGCCGTCCTTGCCGTCCTCCTTGCCGCGCTTGGAGCCCGCGCTGTTCTTGTTCTCCTTCCTCTTCTCCCGCTTGTGCCGCGCCGCCTCGTACTCGGCCGACTCCTCCATCTTGGTGATGCCGTTGCGCCGGTACCTCTGCAGCTCGCGGATCTTGGCCCGCAGCATCTTCTCCTTGTGCATGTTTTCGAACAGGTCGTCGAACTCCTTGCAGGACATGAACTGGTAGAGCGGCCGCAGCTTCAGCCGCAGCTCCTTCTCCTCCTTGGTGATCTTGCGCTTGGCCGTCTTCTCCTTCTCCTTCTTGTCCCGCCCCAGGAAGGCCGGCACCAGGTTGTAGTCCCGCGCGATGTTCTTACGCCGCTGCCTCTCCCTGAGCTTCCGCACGTACATGTCCACGTGCGCGCGCTTCAGCTCGATCTCCACGTCGTCGTCGTCGTAGTTCACCGAGAGCCCGCTGATGAGCGTCTCGGCGTCCTGGTCATACTCGATCTCATAGTCGTCCCGCAGCGGCATGTAGCCCAACTGCTGCTGCTCAGCCACCGAGATGTCTAGGGGAGGCAAGGGGGTAGTGAGGCTGGGCGACAGGGGGCCTCCACTGGGGCAGGTGTGGTCTGTCACCCGGTTGGGGATGGTGTCAGGGATGCAGGCCTTCCCCAGGTTGCCGTGGATGTACATGCTTACGTAATGCTCCATCACTTCCTGGGGAGTCCGGGAAGCTCCGACGTGAGCGGCCATATCTTCCTACAACGACAGAGGTCAGCGTTATTTCCGAAGCCAGAGTGGCAGACTCACGGTTTGCAGAAAAGTCCCTTAACATCTTCTCAAAGGTTACCTGGACTACTTCCCGTCACCATCATAACGCCCCTCCCAAAGCACAGTCGGTGGCACATTCTCTCAGGCTGGTCTTGCCACCTGGATGTCAACGCTAGAAGGAAACTTCGGGGGCTCTACGTGACAATGGGTGTCGCAGTGAGCTCGGGAGAGCTGAGACGAGCGCCTGGTCTGGGATCTGGACTCCGCTCTCCCGGCTCCCTGAACAGGACCACCAGGGCCCACCTGGAACTGGCATTTTGTCAAACCCTGGGCTGTCCCAACTCTGTCTGAGCACGACAGGACACAGGTGGGCAGGGCCACAGAGCGCCTAGGGGCCCCGCCCCCTCCCAGTGCAACCTCTTCATTCCCATTGGAGAACAGGCTCCTCCAGAGTTCAGGGCCCAGGTTCCCAACCACAGGAGGGACCCCATTCTCCCATGCTGCCTGCCTGCCTCCCCAAAAGGGCCGAGCCTCTGTCTCTGATGCTCCCCTGGGCTCAGAGGGCCATTCTGCCCCCTCCCAGGTGGCCAGGAAGCCCCTTCATGCGGGGGCGGGAGGGGGGCTTCACTTATAACCACCCCCACACTTGGGGAGCTCTCCCAGGACCCGGCAGGGCTGCAAGCACTCCCTCCTACGAGGAGGTAACCGTGACCGCCAGGGTTATTAATGGGAGGAAATTGTACAACTCTCTCAATCTTTTCCTTCTGCCAAGAGACCTCTTCCTTAACGTCAACCGCTAAAGCCACTTCAGACAGCAGCGGCCCAAAGTGCGCACTCATCCAGCCGGCTCGCTCGGCACCACGCGCAGCCCCCTCCCACCCCCCACTCCGCTCCCGCCACACGCTGCCTCCCACCCAGCAACACTCACCCCCACGAGGCCGGGGTGCTCTCCGCACCCCGAAGGCCAAACGGGAACCCGAGAAACCAGCCAGCCCGTTCGGGCTGATGGCGGATGACACAGTGGGTGCCGTGGGGAGAGACGAGCTCGTGGTGCAGGGACCAGACCCTGCTCCGGCCATCTCAGGGCACACAGGGCTGTGGCGGGCGCTGCTCCCGCCAGGTGCTGGGTGCTGAGGGTGGGCCTTAGAGGCACAGGCACAAAAAAGGCCATACTGGGACCTACCACGAGGAAAGGGAAGACCAGAGCTCAAACTAGTTTCTGGTCTGATGGGGATGCACTGTTTCTGTGATTTTTCTTTTAAAAAAATTCTCAATGAGCATCAAATCTGTTTGTGATATTTTCCCAGGAAGCATTTGGTCCAAAAAATAAGGCCAATTAACAACCATCCCCAGCATCTACTGCCACTCTGTGTGACCCAGGCCAGCCACTCCCGTCTCTGAGCCTGAGGTCCTCACCAGAAAAGGAGCAGAACCAGCCCCAGCCACCCTCACCCTTCCAAGCACCAGCGGCAGAGCACAGACGTGCAAAGGCTTCACACACTGCAGTCAGCTCTGCACAAGTCCCCACTCGTACAGTGGCCACTGAGGGGCTGGTGAGCGTGAACACTCTTGTACCCACCCCGCCCTGGGGCTAGGAAGACCCCAAGTTATGCTGGAAAACACCGTCCCTTCAGGAGGAGAGGACGTGCTGGCCCAGGTGTCTGGAGAGCAGAAGCAGCCGCCCATACCTGGTCTGAGCTTCTGGTGCCAGGCGGTGGCCACAGGCATGGTCAAGCCTTGCCCATGGCTTCTCCACCCCTCCCCACAGCTCTGTCCAAGGCTGGAGCCCCCACAGACTCGGAGTCCAGTTTCCGGGGAGCCTCCCAGGTGAGGAAGCTGGGGTGCCCTCTTACCAGAGGCTCAGAGGGGCCGCTGTGAACCCACAGCTGCATGGTCAGAAATCCAGCCCCAGCCTTGGCCCTGGCCTGGTCCAGTGAGGAGACTTGCAGTGAGAGGCCGGCCCCGCACAGGAGCGCCAGCTGCCGCCCCAGCAAAGTCTGCCGCCCACCCTGAACCCCAGCAACCTGCCTTCCAAAAATCAGCCGCTCACAGCACCACACTTTGGATAAAATTTAAATCCTAGAAGACCAGAAGGATTCTGTGTAATACCGTGGTATCTGACCAAACCGAGATTATCTGTTTGCATTTTATATTTACTTCCATCACCTTCCGCACTCTGGGGACAGAGGGCAGAGAATGGAGGCAGCAATGAAGCCTCAAGGCCAGGGCCGGGCCAGGGGCCAAGGCAGGGGACGACCTGATGCCTCCGCCCTCCCCGCCAAGCATGCTGCAGGCCGCATGCCAGTCCATTCTCCCGGCCCGGCAAGCAGGTCAGCCAGCTCATCCAGGTCCTCAGAACAAAGGAGACTCTGCTCTCAGATGATATTTATAAAGCCACAAATCAGAGGGTTGATGCCCTATCACCAGGAGCCCAGGACTCCCATTAGCAATCAAACTGAGCCACCACCTAAGAACGGCTGAAAGGCCATCACTAGGAGAGCCACTGGCCATCAGCTACTTCTGAGTAGCTGGCCCCTCCGGAGCCACCACATTAGTTTAATGATCAATGACAAAGGACCAGGAAAACACACAAGCTCCTGATTTTCAAGGCCTCTGAAATGGAGAGTAAGGGTCATAACGGAACAATCTAAGTATGAGCAACAACACAGCTCTGCTTTTGCCAAGAATCCACAGGACAGACACGTTCACTGAGGCCAAATCACAGTAAGGAAGATATTTAAAACGATGGTTTAAAACAGCAACAGCTACTGCACTCTACCACCTGCCACATGCCAGCCTTTTCTCCAAGTTTCACGAGTTAATGGTCACACAAGACTCGCCCACCTCCTGCGAGCGAGAGAAGTGTCTTGTCACCACACTACAGCACCATATATGACAGAAGCAGACTGACTGGGAGGGCAGTGCTCCCCTCGTAAGTTCCAAGGTCGATGTTTTCGCTTGATCCGGGAGGCAGACGCATGGGGAGGCAGACGCGCCAGGAGCGGGTCTGCGGAAGATTTGGAGACCGAGCTCACCTCGAGTACAACCAAAGTTAAACAGGTAACACGACTATACGCTGAAGTGGGTTTTCCCACCGCAACGGGCAAAAACACAGGGGTAAGTAACCCGAAGCCTACAGCAACAGGTTCCGTGAATGTTTTGTCCTTCATTCTCCCTTAAAAAAAACCAAAAAACAAACTCCTATCTTTGGAAAAAGATAAAGAGAGATAGGTATGCCTCTTCCTTAAAGTTATTTGAAAACAAGGGGGAATGTGCCTGAGGACACTTAACTAGGGCCACGAGATCTAGTTCAAAGGTTGCTAGACTGAGGCCAGGACACTGCCTCTCCAGGAGGGGAGGGGAGCCTCCCAGCGACAATGACAGTGCCAAGCTCTCTGGCTGGTCTGGCCTCCGGCACGTGGGCAGGAAAGGAAGAGGACAGTCCAGAGAAAGCATATGCGCTGGCTGGCTCCTGCCAGTGGGGCGCGCTCACAGCCTCTCCCCTACATGCTCCGGCCAGGGCCACCTCCGCCCGTTCTGACCCAGAGGTCTCCACGCCAGGACTCGACAGGGCGATTCCTGTGTATGACAGGCCTTTGGAGGCTCCCATCAGCAAGTCCACCGCCTCCCGCACTGGGCTGGCCCCCCGTCAAAGGTAAAATTTAACAACAGGGCTGATGTGGAGGACTTCCTGAAAGTGAAACTCGCCCATTCACAGGGTGGTCTTCCCCTCAAGATCACATCCTACCTGGGGAGTAGTAAGATCATCTTTCTTTTTGTGAAACGGTGACAGATTATTAATTGGATCTTTAAAAAGTTTCTTAATACCCTCCCCTGGCAAACTTAAAGTTAGCAATCCTATGTAAGCTTTCAAAATATTTTCTTTCCATGTGACTGGTCTACGAAACCTGAAGGTCTGGGCAGCACTCACCTGTCAGGCTCAGCCAGACTCCTCGGGCACTCCCCGAGGCCCTCTCAGATCTGTCCTTGGCGCCGGCCAGACACCACAGGCTCTGGGGTCAGCCCTTGGGGTTCCAATCCTGGCTCCGCCCTTAGGAGCTAAGTAACTGGAATGAATCCTTTAGCCTCTCTTACCTCAGACTCATCTGAATTATGGAGGCAACAGTAGCACATACCTCCCAGGACGGCCGGGAGGAGTGAGGTCGAAACACACGTATGACACGGCCAGGCCGGGCGCTGCGCGCTCCATCGATGGCGGCTGTCGTTACTTCTGTGAAGCTGCCAGCTTCACTTGTGCAACCTGTGTTTATCCCTCAAGACCCAGGTCATCTCCCCAGAAGCCCTCGATGATCCCCAGAGCTGGGATCAGATTGTGGCTCGACCTCGTACTAGCTGTAAGAGCCCTATGCTCTCAACGTCTGCTCCTTGCCCTCCCCTCGAAGGGTTTGTCAAGGAAGAATAAGGATCATGTAAGAACAGTTAACATGTGAGCGCTTTTCGCATATCATCTCATTTCATCCTAAAATTCCCACGAGGTAGTATGAGTGTTAGACGCACATGTTATAGATCAGAACTTAGGTTAAGCAGTCCCCACGGGCACGAGGCCAGCAAACGCTGAGCCCGTCTGACAAGCAGTCTCACTGCAGAGCACGCGTCCCTGTCACCACGCTGCCTCTGGTGGAGCGATGATGCAGCGCGCACGGGGAGGTCTGAGACCGAACGCTTCCTGATACCCCAAAGCCCAGTGCCAGGCCTGACACAGGGCTGCTTCTGTCCAGACCGACCCGCTCAGGAAGCGTCGCCATGCCCCTCGCTCGGCTACTCACTTCGGCCTCTGGGAGCCAAGTGAGGGGCACAGTGGCACCTACGTCCTCCCTGAGCACAGACTCCGGCTGCGGCTCCGCACACGGCAGTGCTCCGGCAGAGCCGCCCCGCCTAGCCCGCGGCACGGCCTTCCTGTGCGGGCTGGCGGCTTTGCCCTGGAGCACTCTGAGTGTCGCCGCCACCGTCCTGTCACAGCCTTTCTC